CACCAAAGGAAAACAGCAATAAAATCTTAGTAAAGCCTGGCATTTAGCCAAAATTAAATGCTTCTTAAAAATGGCTGTGTCTACTTTCCTCATCTGGAAAGTGGGGGCCACGTTCCTGCATCCTGAACACATTAGTTTGTGAGACTGAACTGCAATAATTCACGTAAAGCAAAGTGTACTGTGTGTCCCATGCCTGTCCCTGAGAAAGTCACCAGTTGCCATCAGTATTTCTGAAGTGATGAAAACAAGCCCTGGTAACAAAATGGTGAAGAGCTTGGCTTCTAATCTAGATTGGTTGCTTGGATAGAAGAGGCACTTTACAGGAGAAAGATGTGGCATCTGTCGTCATAAAGATGATATACTTGGTGATCTTATGTGGCAGTTCTGTCCTACACGGTCCCTTATTGTCAGAATGTCTACCCTGACTCTTTGTGACATGGTTGTTCCTAAGGGTTTTCAGAATCTAAAAGCATGTGTACCACTATCCAAAGGATGGCAAGATGATGAATGAGTGTAGGTGAGGCATTCCACATATGTTCACATATGTGCTGGGCTTCAAAAGGGTTGTGGAAAAACGTTATTAAAAGATAGAGGAATTTATCCATAAACTTTTTTAAGTCTCATGGTCTAAATTTAATATGCATAAAAATCACTGTGATTTTTGTTAAAATGAAGATTCTGATTCACTAGCCTTGGGGTAGTGCCCAAGATTCTTCATTTCTAACCAGCTCCCACTGATACCAAATGCTACTAGTTCAAGGGTCACAACTAGAGCTGCCAGCTTTATGTATTTTAACATTTCTATAATAAAATGTAAAAAACAAAAAAAAATTTCGCCATCTCTTATCTCTATTCTATGAATACTCTTAATTTTTAAATACTAATTAGTACCAACAATATTCACCTGATACAGTGGTTCTCAACCTTCCTAATGCTGCAACCCTTTAATACAGTTCCTCATGTTACGGTGACCCCCCAACCATAAAATTATTTTCGTTGCTACTTTTAATTTTTCTATTGTTATAAACCAGGAGACCCTTGTGAAAAGGTCGTTCAAGCCCGAAAGGGGTTGTGACCCACAGGTTGAGAACCATTGCTTTAATAAGCAACTACTGAAGCAGTATATAGAGCTAACTATGCATTAGTGTTTGCTTACGTATTATTTCATACCTGTGTACGGAAAAAATGTTTTTCAAAGCCATGTGTAGTTCTCTTATCCGTCATCATTTGTCTAAACTTTAGAGGAGCATATACCTATTACTAAACTTCCAGCTTTATAGTTTGCAGAATTGTCAGAACAAAAGAAATGCAGCATATACAGGAAGGAGCCCTGGTGGTGCAGTTTGCCTAAGTGCCTGGCTGCTAACCCAAGAGTTGGCAGTTGGAGCCTACCACCTGCTCAGATGAAAGAGAGGGTGTGTGTGTGTGACAATCTGCCTCGAAAAGATGGCAGTCTGCTTTATAGCCTTGGAAACTCTATAAGCAGTTCTCCCCTGTCCTATAGTGACACTATGCATAAGAATCAACTCAATGCCAATGGGTGTACTATGACCAGAACATCTAGGGAAAGGAAAAAAAGCAAATACTTAACTGAGGAATAGGAATTAACAAAAAATGAGATGTATTCATTTTTTCCTGTAATTAATGGTATCTCACACACACAAAAATTAAGAGCAAGTGGTTTAATCCTATGACTTTTCCTATTTTTAGTATAAGTGCTTGGAATTTAAATAGACTATAATTGGGGGTTGCTCTATAATTGGTACTGCCTAAAGAAAAGTTCTTCATAAGTGCAATGTTACACAAACTGGTGTGCTACAGTAGCATTGACCAGGACACTAACAGACGCATGGTGGAAAATGTGGCCTATGTTCAATCTTAACTTTGACTCAGTATTTCTTCTATTTAACAGGTGGAGCAAAACATCTTTAAAGCCTGTTAATTTTTAAGATTTTTATTTAAAACATTCTCACTAATATATTTCCTCACTAACTATACATGACTGCTTCCCCAAAAATATTGTTTTAAACGTTATCATCAATTGATGAAATGTGAAACATTAAATATTTTCTACAAGAAAATGTAAGCACAACACAGAATCCCACTATGTAAATAAAAAGTTGAATACCTATATGCATGTTTTAAATATAATAAAGCATTTTTAATATTGTAAAGTGCAAAATTGAAAAAAAAATGTCTACCTCATTATTAGGCCAGCAAAGCCCCATTGCCAGCTCTAAAGTTAGTATTATTAGACAAATCGCCATTTCCCCACAGCCTCTAAGAAGTATTTGACCACATACTATCTAGAGTTTACTCAATTAAAAATGATTTTAATATACATGCACATAGACATTCTGCTGAGTATGAAGCACCTTTCCATCATCCAAAATGTGGTCATTTATCTCTGACCTTTACCCTTAAGTCTATTCCTGGTGCAAATCATCATTCAAAATCATTTTGAAGTGGAAATTGTCTAACCAGGATTTGAAAAAGTTGGTCACAAGTAACAACACAAATCCACACAGCTGGAAATTCATTCTTTGAATTCTGACAAGAATATCTTTAAAAAACTAACTTCAGTTATGTGAAACTTTATGTTGTGCTGAAACTGTTATACAGGTGCATCCTGGCCCACATTTCTTAGTAATAACATTTAAAGTCATCAGTCACAGCATAGTAAGAGACAAATTTTTCCTACATCTGATTCTTCATTTCCATTAATGGTCAACGAGAACTGTCTCCACAGAGAGAACCAAGGGGGGAAAAAGAAATTTCATAAACTAAACTTGCCAAATGACAATTTCCTGAATTCAATTTCATGTCAACTTACACACATAAACACAAAAATGGTGGAGTGGGAAGTTCTTCAGTAAAAATAGATTTAAAGTTTGAAGGAAAAGCAAACTTTTCTTTAATAGACTATTTATAATGTATTGCCATTTTAAAAGCTGTATGTATTTCTCCTCTCATCATTTTACACTCAATAAACACTCAAAAAGTGATGGTAACTTTTAAAATTAAACATGGAAATTCCTGGATCTATAAAGTTCACTTCCTTAAGTCTTTTAAGTAGGCACAATTTCCCTTATCTGTACAGCCTTATTATGGAAGCTTTGAAAGAGGACCAGGATTAAAGATTAGTAATAAGGACATTAGAACAAAGGAAACACATAGCAAAAGAGCAATAAGAAACAAAATGAAAGCAAAATGGAAGCACGCCTCTACTTCAAACTCTAAGGCAGTTAGAGTAATGACTAGGTAACCTGACAACCACATTTTCAGGAAGTTTGTAAGAATAGTAGAAGTAACAGAATTGAATACATTTTGCAACTGTTTATAATGAATATTCATTGTAAAAGATTCCCTTTATTGACTTCCCTGCCCTGCCTCAGATCCATTGCTTTTGACAGAGTAGAAGACAGCAAAATATATAACAAGCTACTCTAATAGGTGAGGACCATATTATGTGATCTTTCTGCACACTACTCCAGTAAGTTTATTCTAAAAAATCTAATTTTCTATTCTAAGTAGTTTGATGCCTATTTTTTCTAGATAGTCCTATCTATGTACCATTTCATTGCTCATTAATAAAAAATGAACAATCAAGTGATTCCTCTACTCGCCTACTGAAGTCAAGTATCTATAAAGATTTGCAAAGCTGGATGCAATGGTGTTTTAATTCAGCCTATCAATTTTAGTCAATCTCATCTGAAATGTTACAATTTGTAAATAGAAGGTATGCTATAGCTTTAAACATTTCCTCTTTCCTTTTACACTTGAGAAAATCATTAAGAGAACATGTCATGTTAACTAAACATATAAATGATGTTCAGATTTTTTAAACTCTTAAACCAATATTGGTTCGTCTCAACTATGCTGCTCTCACAACTGTTTCTTACTTTTTCTTTAAAGAAAATACATGATGTTCTTGTTATCTCAATATGCTTATGAAAGCAGATAAACTAAAATGTACGTAGAAAAACATGGGAATGAATATTGAAATTGTACAAGCACTTTTTCAAAGACCCTCCTAACTACCAAACTTTGTTTCCTACATTCCATGCTTTCATCAGTGTATTTAATGTATCAGTTATGTGTTATCATGGTACATAAAACATGTTAACTATAAGCAAAAATTGAGGGCTTACTATAACCCGACCGAATTAAAGTCGTTATCTGCAACATTTGCCCTTAACTTTCCACAGACCAAAAAGGCTGTAATCCTCATACTGTAGGTGCAAAATCCAGACTTAGAGTTTAATTCAGAGCTAATAAGACATAGAACTGGGCACTTTAACTTCATAGTCCACATTCCTAATCTGTAAATTTGTTGAGTGCATATAACTACATAGCTTATTAATATGTAAGTAAATCAAAATTTGGAAGTTATGGACAAAATTACTTTTTTTTTCCATTTAGAAAAGTTTTGAACACATTAGTGTACATGGCTCCCACCCATAAATCATATATTGTTTGCAAAAACATAGTTCAAGTAATAACTCTTGGTTCATTTATAGCTCCCAATTGAAAGGAGAAAATTTTTAAATGGGTTGCAGTGACACTTTGATAAATGTCTCCATTAGTGCTAACAAAAGTACATTCAATGACAGAAATGTTCTATAGATCCAGTATTACAGACAGTACTGTCGACTAAGTACTTGAAGCATGGTCACTTTGACTAATTTCTAATGTTCTCTAGCTTTAACAACCAAGTACATTTTAATGCCTTTTTTTTTACTTGCAGGTTTCATTGCTAACTTAAACAAAACAAACATTCTCGTTTCTCTATTTAAACTCTTCTTAGTGCATCCTAATTTTTCAAAATCATCAACATTTGCATTATCAACAAAGTTTCAATAGTTCTATTAGAAACCCTTTATTATTTCAATAGCTAACAGGAACAATGTGAAAACAGTGCTTATGAGGAAAACTAAGCAGAGTTAATCAAACAAGTTTTCAGAACTCCTCATATAAAAATTTCATAATAAAGTGCTTACCTTGAATCTCCACTACTGTTTCTAACACTTTCTTCATCACTGTGTCCATTCATTGTAAATATAAAGAAGTTTTAAAATATAAATCTCCTCAGTTTATATGATGAATATAAATACTGACTGCTTGAGTATCAAAATTCAAGTAATATTCTTCAACATTCAGATTCCTCAGGACTGCTGATTTACCTAAGGAAAATATGTTAAAAGAGTTAGAACATTTCCTACAGAAAAAATATCTTACCTTTTTTAGAACATGCACAAACCCACCTACGGCCAATTAAACAAAAGATAGTAAGGAAAAGGTGATGCATTTTACTTAAAATAGCTAGGGTCCCATTAAGAGTATCTGATCTCTTACTACAATTTGAAGACTGCTACTTAATTTTGACAGAAATTAAAATATTTGTACACTGATAAAATCTATAGGGACTAGATGCAAACTATGTAATATTATTTACATAGATTAATAAAGCAAAGTGTTACTATGAGATAGGCATATATACGATTTAAAAATATAATCTTATGGACTTGGTCAAGCAAATGGGGAAGGGGGTGGGTTGGTATCATCTTTAATCGCGTGCTAATTCATATCACCAAAAACTTCATGTACTCATAGGGGAAAGTTTTGAAAATGCTCCCATGAGAACAGAATGGAAACCATATAATCTTCACAAAAATGTCCAAGTCAAAATAAGCATGCTCCCACACAAACTGATAAGACTTCACAGTACCCATCCAGTTTTGGACATGTACAGATTCAGCGAATTAGAGAAGGGGAAAGATGGTAACAGATGATCAATACAGTAAACATCTGTGTCTTTAAGTAAGGAGGAGTTTGGGTGGAAATAATGGACCACGACACCGCAGTTCCACCTTTCATGATTTCAGCACAACACTCTAGAGCCCCCCCTACAAGTAGGCCATCCACGAATAAACAAAGGAGATCTCTGGCAGGGGAGGGAGAGGAAGAAGCGGGGGATGGAGACGTCAGATCCTTCCCCAGGCAGAAAAGTACCGAGGCAGCCGCGAGTAGAGCGGTCCTCCGACTTCAGCAGAGAAGTCCCTCCTACGATAATTTCTATTCCACTTAAAAAAAAGGAAAGAGGCTGCCACCTAGTCAATTATAGGAAACTCTGCACCAGGAGTAGGATTTTAAATCTCTGGAGACTATGAGCAGTCCAGGAAACTCTGCAAGGACAGGTTCTCTAGAAAGTGATCATCCGAATCAGCATTTATTCCTAATGCTAAGTGTTAACCCCAACCCTATCCAGAGCAATTTACTAGTAATTAGCTCTTTAAAAAAATCGAAGTACTGGTGCTTTTAACCAATTGCCTTTCTGAAAGTCTCTTAAGAAAGTTCACTCTTTTCGCTCGTTCCTTTCCTTTTTTTTCCCTCCCCCCAAAATGGCTTTCCCAGTACACTGGGACTTCCTTTTGCCTTCATCCCCCCTTCTCTAAACCCTTTCTGAAAGCTTTTTCACAATTCTAAATTCTAAAGCTCCGAGCACATGCAGCTTTCTAGCCTCTCACACGTCCCAACAATGACTCCTCCCTAAATCCTTACATCTCTTCTCTGCTACACTGTCTTTTACTAGTTGCTTTGCTACTAAGTTTTCCAAGTGGCACTCGAAAGGGGCTTGGAAACCTCCTTCTTCGCTCCCTGGCCCGTCGCAGCTCCGCTCCCACCAGCCTCCCTCCGGACCCCCCTACTCGCACTCCCTGCCCCATTTGCCTGCTCCCAAGCCTCCCCTCCCGGTCCCTTCCCGCCTCAAACTTCCCGCAGACCCGCCCCGCGCCCTCCAGGGCTCGCCGCA